TTGTCGCATAACCCATTTAGTGCAGGAAGTTCATCCCTCGTTTCTGCCAATCGTCTGATCTTTAAGGTGCAATTCACGACGTTCTTCCATCAACTCACAAGTTGAGTTCCACGCTTGGAAAGAAGAGAGGGTCGTCGGGGAAATCTTTCTTGTTTTGAACAAAGCAAGTGGCACGCCATTTCATCTGCCACGTGTCAAGGAGATTTTTTGGGATAACACTCTCTAATTTCCTTGGGCTCCATGGTTCGATAAAAAAAAATAGTCATTGCTTGAACCAAACAATAAGTTTGTACGATTCTGATCAGAGAGGGTGGCTTTCTATGTGCTTCATGCCTCAAAATTTTTGTTCATTTCTATCCCTGATTTCTTCGGTTTTGACTAATTTTATTTTTATTGCCTTTAATTACAACAAACTATTATGAGAAGTGCTGGTATTCTTGTGGATGGGATAGGTGGATGGGAGGGATATATACCATAGATACGGAGAGGGGAAGGTCGGGCATGCAACCATGCAAGTTTCTTCCCCATTCCTTCTTATTAAAGAATAACTATTCCTTACAGCGAAGATGGAAATAGCTAATAAGGCATTCCCTAAGTTTTGGTTGTCCTCTCTCTGCTCTTGCTTACTAGATGAAAATTGTTGTAAGAACAGGTATTAAATGCTCTTCTTCTTATTTACATTAATTTTATTCAAATTTTCAACTCCACTTGCAACAAGAAGTGTATGAAAGTCTATGAAAAGACATAAATGATGTTAATAAATCAACAATAATAAGTACTTTAGTAATAATATTTAAATAATTTTACATGTATTTTTATACTTCTTTTTTTTTACAAATTGACTTGAAAAACACTTTTTTATATCATGAAATAACTATATATATACTTTTTTTTATCTTATCTATATTTGATTTGTGGAATTCAAGAGTCTCATAGTTTACAAACAGACCGGAAGTGGGGGGAAGGGTTTGGGCGTTAAAAATGAAAAATGGAGGCTTTTAAGTTTCATCCCAATTGAATCTCTTGTAATTAGTTTGTTTTTAATTTCAGTCTTCAACGTTTTAGGCAAGGTTCAATTAGGTCCCTAACAATTTTAACTGTTGTATTCTGAACCTTATTCAATTAATTTAGTCCTTGAGGCTTGCGATATTTTTTTATTTATTTGGATACACAAGTGGTTAATCACTAATTACAACCGACCCTAGGTCTAGAAGGAAGTGATTCAAAGAATCCTTCCCATCATTGCAGTTGTACTCATGATCTGGATAGTAGAAATCCAGTTCCTTGCATCTCATCACCAATAGACCAAAGAGGATTATGTGGGCTCACATAATCTTATTCACAACCAACAAAACAAGGAATGTAGTACCAGAGACAACAATATATTATTCAATACCAAGTTACCAACAAGGAATCCAGTTCCAGGTATGACACTGTTCAAGGAAGCCAAAGGGGAGAACAAAATTAATAAATGCTGCTCTTTCTGCCAACATCCTTCACCTAGATGAATATCCAAATGTTTTGAACATGGTCAAACAAGGTTTGTAACACAGACTTGAGCTCGCAACAGGACTCTATTCCACTCTCTAATTTAAAATCTCCCCATCAAAATTTCAGAAAGATAACAAAAAATTAACCAATCCTAAGGAATGTGAGATTCCTCAGGTATGCTAGTGGGTGATGCTCTGAATTGAATATCTCACTTCCCTAGTAGAAAACCTCAGCAAAGCAAGAACTTCAGATGATTTCTATTGCATTGAGTTAGGCCCATATGGAGGCCTTGTCCCTGCCTGCATAGGGCTGGTGTGAGCTGGCATTTGCATCATTCCAGGAACCATTTGAGGCATAGTTGCAGGTGGCATATAAGGATGACTGGTCATCTGCATAGGTATAGATTGAGGCACTGGTGGAACAGCAGAGCCCCACCCACCTGAATGTTGAGGCATCATGGCCTGCTCTGCATTTGGAGGGTATTGAGTTGCATTGAAGTTGGGAGCACCAGGACCTATCATTTGAGCTGGCTGTTGCCCCAGAATAGAAGGTTGGGGGTTCACCATAGCAGTGTTTGGGATTGTATAGTCTCTGCTCCGATCATTGTTGACCTGTAACAGATATTTTAAGCACTGATCAACTAGTTTTTACCATTTCTAATTTGTTTCTCAAGGTAAAACAAAACCAGTGATCATATCAATTCTACATCCTGGGATGGCCCTCGTTCATCATTTCTACCCTTTTAGGTCATTGTGAAGATTTGAATGATGGAAACTCCTCCCTCCCCCGCCGAAAAAAAAAAAAAAAAGGGCCGATAGATAAAGTTGTCATTATTTTACTCACTAAGACTTTAATTACAAAATTCTCTTTGTTCCTATTCACATGTTTCTGCATATTTGTGCATTTGTTAAAAAAAAAAAATTCAAATGCCATGTAACAATTACTAATGTCAATGGTAGTTCTGGCAAATGCAAAATATAGAACATTGCTCAATTACCTTGATACTGAGATCAGTGTGGCGTGAATATGAGATGTGAAGCTTGCAAAACCCTCCATCATATATGCAATGCCCTTCCAAGGCTTCTTTGGCAACAACTGCTGTCTGAACATCTGCAATCCATTGAATCATAAATACTTCACCAATAACCTAACATATTTAAATCTCAAGAGAGAAGCCAAGAATGGGTTAAATCTGTTTCCTATTGTCCTTTGTCCTTATTGAAACTTTGTAAATAAGAATATTCTATAGTGTGGACTACAGAGGAAGAAAAATAGAGAAATAAAAAGGTGTTGGAAAAATATCATTTAAGGGGGGAAAGAAAGACTTCAGAGAGGGATAGTTGGGAAGGATTGAAGATATATTATTTGAGAGTATTTGCAGCCAAATGCATTACTTCCAGGAATTTTTAGAAATAGAGAACGGAGAACCATAAAACAATTTAAAAGGAAATCAGAGTGACTGAGTTTTTATATTTGACATCCTATGAATTAGACCACAAATTGCTTAGGGTAAATTTGCTTGAATAAGCACTGCTCAATTTGAAAGACTTTATCTTGTCCACAGACAAAAATCCTCAATTTAGCTAGGTTAGTAATGGATGGAAAGAAACTTTAATGCCCTAACCCTGTCCTCTAAATTGCCACATATATCCCAGAAGCCACACCTGCTTTTGTAACTGGGACCATGAAATCATCCACTTGCCATCCTGTCCTACCATACCAGCAAAACCTCATATTGAGTTCATTAGGAAACTTGAGATCATTTTTGGTCAGGAGTAATTGCTATTCCTTGTTAGAGCATAAAAATAAGGCAAATTTTAAAAACTTAACTAAAAAATTTGGAATATACCTGCCTTTAGATTGATAGTTTTCAACTACATTAGTGAATGATTAAGGAATAGCTATTGCCATCTTCCTTTAAGGAATAGGTATTCCTTGATTTTTCCTAATCTGAAAGAAAATTATCAATCTTATGGAATAGGTAATGTATTTCTAGCATCTATGTTTGTTACTTAGATAACTGCTTGCCTTATTTTTATCATTTGACCATGGAATAATCATTACTCATAACCAAACATAACCTATGGCATAAGTCATTTGCAAGGTTTAAAGCAAATAAAAACCTATGGGCATAGCAACATTAATCAGAAACTTACAAAGTTCTAACAACTAATATCACACATACATTTCAATTTAAAAGATGTAGCTATGCTTGAAGAGATTACCAGGGTACTGAATCAAAGCCTGAAGCCCACCATTCTTATCAAACATCGCAATCTTTTGAACTGGACCAAAAGCAGAAAAGACCTGATAAAAATGGGCAAAATAATCTGTATAAGATACATCACATATCTAACACAACATATATATATATATATATATATATAAAGAAAATGCTTAACATTGTTACAAATACCATCTGTAGAACGTCCAGGGTAACAGCATATTGCATGTTCTCAATAGATGCAAGAAGAACATTACTCTCTGGCTCTAACTTCTTCCCGTCAAGACCCAAACTCAACTGCAAAGATGACAAATGAATCCCCTTACTTAAACATAAGAATTGTCAACCACCAAGCCTCATCGTATTAAGGCAGCAATCTTATTAGTCTATCAGTAGAAGTTTATGTTTCAAAATTTTGCACTGAAGTACAATATCTACTGCCAGTTTACCACCTCCTTACCTGACCACTTCCATCTATTGCAGATGGTGCAACAGGAAGGTAGGGGTTTGTATAGTCCCTGAAAGAAACAACAAAAACAACAAAATGCATCATGAACACAGTGAGGAAACAGCAATAACCAACATAGCGACAAGAAGTAGACAAATAGGATAATAGAGAAATGGATGGAAAATCTAAAAGTGAAAATGCGAAACACAAACCAGGATAGAAGCAAATAAAAGGAAAGAAATCAATGATTCATAAGCAATTTGAATTGGTTTTGAATGTGCAAAAATGTTGACTGAGATACCAAAAGAAACAAAATGTGAGAATACCTGCTACGGTGGCTCTGAAATTTCACACTTAAATCAGTGTGAGCAGAGTATGTGATCCTAAGTGTACATGGACCCATATGCTCAGGAAGCAGATACCTGATAGCCAGGAAAAGTATGTAAACAAATCATTCTTCAAACAAGTTTAACAAAGACTTAAAGTGGTAAGAGAATTGCATTGAAAGTGGAATGGATGAATATTCTAGGAACTGCATTCAACTATAACTCAGTGTGTTCTTTATCTTTTCAAAGACTAGAAGAAGGTCTAGAGACTGGAAATCGGAAGATTTAAAAGATCAAAAGGCCAAATGGCCACTCAGACGTCTGTGCCCAAATCAAGTGCACCACGTCTACACCTTACAGTCACCACAATAGTTTGACTAAATACCGTGTCTAACAATTAATTCAACTGTCACCTAGGGATGCTTCGTCCATCCAGTGCATTTTTTGCAGAGGAGGCTGTTTCTGTGTCAGAAAACTGCACCAATGCCTGCACCAAGGTCATTTAGAACATGAGCTTATTTTCAAATGCCAAAGCAAAAAAACCAGAGGAAATAGGTTAAATATATTCACCTGAAATCCAGCTGTCTTCTCAAAAGTAGTAATCTTATGCACAAACCCAAAAGCTGAAAATACCTGCATCATTAAATAGTTTTAGAAAGAGAAGTTAAAAGGACTATTATAAAAGAAATCCTGAAGGCAACATCAATCTATCATTCTTCCTGATAATTTACTCCTGAAAACAGGAAACTTTTATCAATCTAAAGTGCAAGGTACTCTGCAAGCTCAGCATAAGCACTAAATTTCATTCTCAAAACAAACAACTTTACAATATGTTAACAGTATCGGTACCTTTCAAATCAACAACTTCCCCAGGTTAACTGCTAAAAACACTTGGATACAGAAAGTAGCTTCGTAAGAAATAAACAGCCTCAGCTATTCACAAGTGAGCTGAAGGCTTAAAAGCAACCATTTCTGCCTGCAGGCCATTTCACTCAAAGTTAAATATGTTCTTATTTGGGAAGAAATAGGGACAATTCTTTAAATTTCCATAACCAAACAAATTATAGAAAATTCTTCTCTAAGACTAGAAATAAACCTCCACCCCCTTCACAATGAGTAAAATGGTAAGTATTTGCACCAGGTCAACAATTAATTGTTTGAGCAGTATCTATCATTAACATGGTTAAGGCTCATATTAAATAAGGATTGAAGACTCTGTAAGGTTGGACTCTTAAGTTGATGCAAAAGGTGCAATGTCAACAAGGAATGCAAAAAAAGAAAGAATGATAGAAATAAAAGCAAAATGACCGGAAACTTCAAAAAAAATTTGAAGGGAGAGGGAATGAACACAAGAATGGGGAAATAAAACAACTCAATCTACTAAAATGGTATGAATAGGAGTTGAGAAGGAAGAGTAAGGAAGAAAGAGGCAGTGTTAAGGAGAGGAGAAAGAAGACAAACACACATGTGCTCTTTCCCCTGATGCACTAAGCTGCCACTGGAGATATTTCCTTGACATGGGCCTGCTGATCCATTCACATTCATGTCAAACAAAAGATTTTTCAAACGCACAACAAACTAAAACCTAATTACAGTAATTCATTGGAAACATCCTTTGGAAGTAAGTTCACCTCTTTTAGCCAAAAGAAGAAAAGTAAACGGTTTTCTTACCAGGTGTAGAACATCAATGCTGACTTGGCGAGCATCATTACCCTCAATTGTTACCAAGAGTACATTTCCAGCAACATCAGCAGTTGTTTTGTTGTTTACTATTTCTTGCCTATTAGAATATTGCAGATAGACAGTCTTTCCCCGTACTTGAGCTGGCTCTGAGGATGAAGCATAATATGATATCATATTGATAGCTTGATTCAAGTCAGCCTGAAAGATGTTAAGAAATATAACACAAATGCTAATCAGTGCTGTTACAAAATAACAGGAAAAACTTTTAAATAACAATTCATAATTAATAATGGAAGATAGTATCCGTAACATAAAAGGAAACTCCGGTCACACTCACAAACTCAATGAAAGCTTGATTCCGGTTTGCTCCGACATTGCACTTTGTGTTCACAACTTTACCAAATGGCTTCCCAAGTTCAATCAGCTCTTCCTCCGTGCACTCCCATGGCAGGTTTCTTAAGTGGAGCACTTTAGATGGGGGTTGAGTATAGCGAAACTGCGGCTGACTAGATACAGAGGCCATTCCACACAACGACACCAACCTATTAAAATAAAACTGCAGAAAAAAGAGTAGCCCCTGGGACTACTCCAACAAAACCCATTCAGTAATACAGATTGCTCATCTTTACAGCAGAAACATGAAAGAAAAAAAGGGAGGAAAGCTTCACGCCCAATAATAAATTCTGCCCAAGAAATATTTTTTTCCCCTCATGCACCAGCATTAGAAAATAAGAACATACATGAAAATTAAGAAAATTCCTTAACAGCAGATTCAAATCCGAAGTGCAAAAGGAAAACGGAATTACCAATGACTACACCAAAAACCCGACATTCATCTTATGTAAAACTCCAATTTTTCACTACAATATCGACGACAAGTCCACAGATTCAAGCGTATCGAATTCCAAGTTCATACATCTCAACACAACAGATCAGAGCAAACAAATAGAAATTAAAAGAACTAAAAGCAACATGAGGAAGAAAGTACCTGAAGGAATTAACGAGCTAACCCTAATTCTGTGATGGGATTCAACTAGGGTTCACAGAGGATGAGGGAGGAAGATAGAAGTGTCGTTATTGTTCTTTAGGCGACGGGTAGGTATATTTCGCACCGGAAACACGTTGGCAGGTAGGGAAGATTGGATTTTTGGGCAGATAAGGAAGTGGCCTACTTTAGCGAGGAGGGTGCTGCAAAATGATTTTTTATGGTATGCTCACCGTACTGCAGGATACCAACCGCCATTTTATGGAGGACGTCCATTAATATCAGTGAATTTGATATTTTGTTTTACCAAAAAAAAAAAGGAATTTGATATTTTGTAATTTGAAATAGTTTATTAGTGTTATATAAATTTGTAATTTGTGAATATGTGTGAGATTAATTAAATGTGATTTGTGATTATTTTTACCTAAGTTATAAGTGTTTATAAGATGGGATTAACAAATGAAAAGAAAAAAGAAAATTAAAATATACCACCATAAAATAATAATAAATAATAATCACATAATAAATTTAATAAAATTAAAATTTATAACATGTCTTATTAATTTAATGTTTTTAAA